TTTTTTTTTTAAAAAAAAAAAAAAAAAAAAAAAAAAAAAAAAAAAAAAAAAAAAAACAGAAAGAAATAGAAGTGGCTCATTTAATTAGTTGTTTTACCTTCTCTTTTGCTTCTACATCTGCCAATTGTCTATTTACATCATCTTCCTTCTCTTTCAGAATTGAACTTGATTGATCAATCTTCTTCTTTATCTCTTCGAGATCCTTCTCTTTTTGTTTCATAATTGTGCCATTTTCATTTACCTTCTGCTCTTTATCATTTAGCAATTCACGACTCCTGCTCAAGCTTTCTTCCCGTTCCTGCAACTTTTGTTGCCACTTACGTAAGCCGTCTTCTTCTTTATGGGAAGTCACCTGATGTGCTTCTTTCCTAAAGCAATAATTAACAACAAATAAGTAAAGAAGAGAGTGCCCTCAATGAGACTACTGGAATTATGCACCAAACTGGCCACACAGAACTTCTTTTACTCTTAACAAAATTGATTAAAAAATCAACATTCCACCCCTCAAATTTGGCTTTGAGGTGCATCCTTCTAGCCTCTGATGTCTGTTTTTGTTTGCTGTAGAGGAAACCCCCTCCTAAGAACTACAAAAGATGAGCCAACTCATAGTTCTTTTCCCATCTTTCTTCGAGAGGAAACTAGAATTTCATTGATGAATATAAATATAAAAAATTAAGTCTCCAAACTGCTATATAAAACTTTTCCAGTGGGTCAAGAGAGAATTAAAGCTATAATCAGAAAAAGGAGGCATACATTTATAGTCAAAATAATCACGAAATTTATAAAATATCCAAATGATTCGCTTGTATCATGCGATCAGAACACTTATTTCATAATTATGGTTGGAGAGGAATTCAAGAATCTTTGATACAAGCATCTTCCATTGTTCGAGCATAGCCTCTTCTTAGTGTGTCTCTCCAAATCTTTTGGAGCCTTTTCTTTACATGATGCTTACTTGCCTTGGATGTTTGAAAGCCGCTTTTTGTTTCCTTTTTTCACTCCTCTATGGAGTTTTTATCTTTTGAACATTAGTCTCTTTTCATTTCCTTAATAAAAAAAATTGTTTCTTGTTAAAAAGAAATGTATGGTTGCTCCTCTCGAACCAAAGCTTCCAAAAAAAAAGCCCTGTTGACGAAAGTTCAAAGTGTTCCTTTTTCTTTGATGAATTTCTTGGTAGTTTGAGCACCATGTCAAAACAGAAAATGTAAAGTACTTAGATATTAGAAATTGGAATAACTATCCCATCTATAAACTCTAAATAGACTACATTTTGTTCCTTTTGAGAATTTCTCATCTTTCACTAATACAATCTTTTCTTTCAAGGAAAATAACACTTTTGAGATGGTCACAAAATGTTAAGTCTAGTGGTATAAAACTTCTTATTGTTTTTTTAAGTTCTCAAGTTTTCCAGTTACCAGTAGATTTAAGGCTACTTACTCCTTGAAATCAATTTAAGACTACTTGAAATCCTTGAAATCAATTTAAGACTACTTGAAATCAGGAAGATTATTCAAATACAAGGATTTCTCCCAAATACATACATATCAAAGATTGATGGGTTATATGCTCAAAGAAAAAGATATTGGGAAGAATACCTTGTGGCCAAGGATATTTGCTCCGTCTGAAGCACACTTTCACGAGCTTCAACTTCATGCATCCTCATCTCCAACTCTGAACTCTTCCTATTTACCTCAGCAAGCTTGGCTTCAGCAGCATTCAACTTTTTCTGCAACTTCAAAGATTTCTCCTCAATTCCATGCATCAAAGCATTTGCATCAGCCAACTTTTTCTGAGAAGTAAGCTTGATTTCTGCACGCTCCTCCTTTACTTCACATAAAGCCTTTTTAAGCTGCAGCAAGAGCAGGTATGAAATTACTTTCAACCTTGACAATCTCATAAAAAGCTTTGGGATGGTAAAATAATTCATTACAGGATTACAAGATTCTAGCGACTCTTTATCAATAAAGTGCTAAATTGATTCAAAATTATATTTTATATGTAGAAGTTAAGTCCTTAAGGCAAGATAAAATAGTACAAGAGTAACAGAAAAGATAATAAATAAAGAACGGTCAGCTGCTAATAAACATCCTAATATCATCTTGGCAAAATAGTGAAAACAAATCCATGCTGCTAATGGCTAGACCTGCCACATAGCCCTAATAAACTTCAAATTGAGACATTAAGTATTTAATCAATCTTTAAGATCTAGGATCTATTTCTATAGATATAAGTTCATTCCACAATTTAGTGTCCAAGTTTTAAAAAAAGATCACAAATTATTAAGGAGTATTGGGAGCTAGAGCTTCTCGGCACAAATTATCTAGGGATTATTAAGGATGTGCCAAGAATAGCATACACTAGACACATGTTGCTTCTCGGCAGCAAGAGCTTTCTTCAAATTATCCCTCCTCGTTTCAACTTCAGATAATGCAATTAAGTGTGCTGATTGTTCACGTTTGAAGATCTCCTCAGTTTCTGCTAAATCTTGCCCTAGTTGGTCATACTTTGAAGCCCACATTTTCTTCTCTAGCAAAATAAGTCCTAAATTGTGCTGGTAATCAAAAAGCTGCCAAAAATAATAATCAGATAAATCCATGTAAGAGCAATATAAGTTAAGTGTGGATACTATACCAAAAGAATGACAAACAATGAAGTCATTTATTCCCATCTTGTAGGATGATTGTGTTAAACAGTACAACATTATAATGCATACATCTATTACATTAAAAAGACAAAATAAAAGGCAAAAATAACATTTTATTCTCTATCTAAATGGAAACAGTATTTCAGCTTCCTAGGCATGAAGTTCCAACCTGATTAAACCTACCAACATAAGTATAATTGCTCAAAAAAATCACAAGAGCACCTATTTTCTATACATTGGAATTCAATATTTCACCCCATGATTGCCTAAATTTGCCAAAACTATTTAAAAAATTTAGGGGAAAGAAACAATTTATACCCTTAACTTTTAATTTCATCAAAATGCACCTCAAACTTTTGATAAGCATCGCTATCTCTATGATAGACTTTAAAAATTTTCAATGAAAATATTCTTATGTACATTTAATAAATATAAAACATAAGTCTACTATAAAATTAATGAAGCTCTTCAAAGAAAAACAATACTAGAGCTGGGTTTGTTGAATTTGTGAGTTTTTCTCGATCTTGTGCATTAGCGGGCTTAAATTTATGCTAGGCTTGATTTTTGTTGAATTATTAAGTTTGGAGAGATTTACTATACTATTCATTAAAATTAGTAGATAAGTTCGGCACTTATTGACTGTTGCAACATGAATTTGTGAGTTTTGAAAGGCATATTCAATGGTTTTTCTTGATATTGTGCATTAACCAGGCTTAAATTTGTGCTAGGCTTGATTTCTTCTCTTATTTGCTAAACATGAACCAACCTGAGTAACAATAGAAACTAGCTTTTACCAGGGCCCAACTTGAAGGCCAGTGTATCACATAAGTGCATATGCCTCAACGTTACAGTTCGACCCCAATTAATCCAAAGATAGAAAACAAGTAAGAATTAATGATATTTGCTAACCTCGCTCTGAAGCCTTGAAGCCTTCTCAAGAAGCGCCTCCCGATCCTTGCGCTCCATTGCAGCCGCGTCCAACAACCCCGCCTTCTTAAACTTCCTCCAATCGTCCATGTTCCCAGTATCCGCAGCTGCCGCAATTTTATGGAATCGGTCGTTCAGAGACCCCAACGGCGGCGGTGGGCCGTCTGTAAAAGCCACATCCTTCCTCTGAGGCGTGAACATGATGAGGTGCTATCGCTTGTATGCAATGTAGAGAGACCGAAACCCAATTCTCAAATGAATTGAAAACAAACACAAAAGAAATGAGATGCTCCGACAAGTTCTACAGAAACCCTACTTCCACCGTTCTGTTCAATCCAGTCAGAAATAATTAAACAATCAGGTTGAAGAACAAAAGGAAACAATAGCAGAACAGCAATTCCACTCCACTGCCTTAAATTAGAATCAAAAACAAAAAGAAAATTAAAGTGCAGAAGAGAAAAAAAGAAAGCAAAATAGAGAAAGAAGAGAAGCTAACGTCGTTTCCGGAAGAAGAGCTGCTGGGTAGCGTTGGCCCGCTTCCAAACGGGAAGGCTGGTTGGCGTCGTTGCCGTTGCCAGAATAGAAGGGAGAAGGAATCCGAAGAAAGAATGAAAGGTGTGGAAGAGAGAAAATGGAGAAGGGCGTCGTTGTCTGTCGTTGCCGGAACGGGAGAGAATCCAGTCAGGAATAAACACGAAACGGGTTATAGAGAGAGGGGGAAACGCATACAGACCTAGATTTAACCCCCTTGTTAAATTAGCTAAACCCAGTTATTAAATTAAAAAAAATTCAAAAAAATAATAATAATAATGAATATAATATTTTATTACAAAAATACTATTTTAAAAAATATTTTTAAACTTAAAAAGAAAAAATGTTTCAAAAATTTTTAAACCTAGTATTTAGATATTTTTATTAATTTAGCTTTTAAAAAAAATATATTTGAAGTTTCATTATTATAGAGTAAAAACATAATGAATGCTCTATAGAAGGTCACATCTAGTTAACAACAATCCATCAATCTATCCCAAGACGAAAGGCAGAACTAGTTTTACTACTTTTTCATGAGTGGGGTAATAGAAATTATCGACCCAACTCTTCCAAAGCTGGAGTAACAGATTGACAGACTTGAAAGCAGATGAGGAGAAAAAGAGTCCTCGAGAGGTAGAGCTCAACAATGAAGACCTTGTAGTCGGAATGGTCATAGGCAAGCCCCATTTTCTTGCTTCATATGTAAGGAGACCCATCGAGAATTTGAATGCCCACAGAAGGTTCATGTTGTATAACAATAAAGCTTCATTATTTTTCAATGTGGCATGAATTGAAATATCTTTTGATAATTTCAACGGCATTTTCTTTACATCTTCATTGAAGTGAAGTATATTGTATGATTGATGTCTCTTGATTTATATCATTCTCCACTTCTTTAAGAGGATTTGTTCTCGAATCTATTTGTGAAACTTTGATGCAAAAATAAGTTATGGAAATACAGAGGACCTCACAACACTCTATCATGTGTATAGACTCAAGGAATTTTAGGTCACTCTGTTTGCACTCATTTACACAAATGAAGCTCTCATTCTCACCTCTCAAAATTTTCAATAGAGTCAAGATTGAATTTTAAACACTGGGTCAATTAAAAACTAAAAAGGAAAAAAAACAAATTGAGAAGAAACACAAAGGAAACGTATATCCAATCTTGAGCCTGAAGCTCTGATAACAAATTATAAGGAATCCGTCCAAGAGAAAGCTCTGATCCCAAATGATATGAAAATCAGCACAAGAGAAAACTCTAATACCAAATGATAAGGAATCACTAGAAGGAGAGTAAGATTTGGATTACATTGTTGATCGAATATCTCAAACAAGTGAAAATCTCAAGGCAAGAACACTTGTTTGAGATTCGAATCACTCCACAAGCAAGATCGATCATGTCAATCTTGAATGATTCTACATGCAACCTAAACTACATAAAATTGCAAAGAAACTTAGTCATTGGCTAAGAAACCACAAATGCTCTTTTTACTATGTTTTCCAAGTCTACCTACAAATACAATGCTTTATATAGCCTTAAAATGAAACTCTTAACCTAGACATTTCAACGGTATGTAACATTCATACTTTATGACCATAATTAGCCACTATGTATACTTTATGACTATAATTTGCCACTGTAAATGTAACTGATGAAGAGTAAATAAAAAGTCTTAAAATACATTAATGAAATACAATCACTCTAAATTACTCTCGATTGTAATCCACCAAAAATTTATAACAATAAAGCTTCATTCTTCTTCAATGTGGCATGAATTGAAATATGTTTTGATAATTTCAACACCATTTTCTTCACATATTCATTGAAGTATATTGTATGATTGATGTCTCTTAGTTCATATCAGAAGGTGACACTATATGTCTTCCAAGAAAAACTTGAATTGAATTCATAGGTCGATGAGATGGCATAAATTGAAACATGGTTAGTTGAGACGTTGAGCATGTTGGGTTTTATGTCCTAAAACTCATTGTTTGTAAACAAAAACATATTATGTTTTCAATAAAGTTACTATTCATGTTTATTCAGTAAGATTGTTATTGAATAAAGTGAATGTTACGATTATTAATCTAAATCCAATAAACTAAGAATACTCTGGCTATAATATGATTACTTGAACTATATGTAGAGACATAAAAGTGGATCAAATTCAAGTATATAGTCAAAATGATCTATAGTATAAGGATAAGCCCGAGTACCTTATTCTTGAGACGCTATGGATGTGGCCCACTTTTGTAAATGATATAAACAATGTGATCACTAAATTGTACATGTGGAGACATGTGAGTGGGGGCGTCCTATGCAATGAGTATTGCATAAGATCGAACCATGAAGAAAATCACTCTCACTTTGTAATGGCGTTTACTGTTGAGACTGATTTTTTCATTCGATGATCTAGGTAACTCGATCTTAATCTTGAGCTAACTATGAACTCCTCTTTATTCGAAATTATCCTTAGATTTGCATGGGTGAGAGTGGTCGAGTTCACCGACTCAATAAGCCTCCCATTTCAAGGGTAAGACTGAGTGAATAGCTGGGGACATAGGGTATAAGATGGAATTCATTACTACCCGCTTTTAGGGATAGTAGAGAGGTTGTTCCCTTAAGTACTGACTCCAAGTCTTGAACAAGGGGCCCCACCCTCTCATTGGTCCGAGAGGGATTCGGTTTGGTGGTTGGACCACAAACCAATTGTTTATTAGAGGATTAGCGGGACTTAAGGAACAAAAAGTGACTTTAGGGGTAAAACGGTAAATTGACCCAACTCTAATTACGAAGAACCATTGAAGGATCGACTTACTAATCATGGTTATATCAAATGGACAGAAATATATCTATAGTGAGGGGAGTGCAACTACTAGGCTATAGTGGAGTGTCTAGTAGTTAACGAATGTTGGTTAACAAGGTTAATGAGTTTAGCCGGTTAATCTGGGATCGTTGGAGCCCATGATCTATAGATCCATTAGGTCACTCTGCTAGCTCATATCGAATTAAACCTCAGAATAGTGTGATGAGTGAGTTCGAAGTGTTCGAATTCAAATTAGAGAATACACGCTAAATATATACGATATATTTAACCGCATTTTGTTTTAATTATGAATTGAACAAAAAGAGAGAATTGAAGATATTTAAATAAGATTTAAATATTTTAATTATGAATAGGGATTCATGATCAATATGTGCGGGAAGTGATTGTGATTGACATTTTATTTAATGTTAAATATTAATTAAATTGTTTAATTAATCCTTTAATATTATTTTGATTTGAAATTAATTATTTAAATTAATTATTGAATTAAAATAAAGAAGGTAAAAATGTGACTTTCCCCAATGGAAAAATCAATGTTTGAGTTAGTGAAATATTGAGAGTCAATATATGGTTTAACCAAACTTGCATGTTTGTCGCATAATCCCACTCATTTGAGTGGAATTTTGAGTGTCAAAATTTGGTAATCTCAAATTTGCATGAACATGCAAATATGACTATAAATAGAGTGATCAAGGTAACTTGAAAGTTTGTTTGAAAAATTTTGAGAAAATCTCTCAAAACTCCCTCTTTACCTATACTAAATTTCTATCAATTTTAGTCACTCACCGAATTCCACAATCCCGTTCTAAGGTCGGAGAATAGTATGGAAGACACTAGTGGTGGTTCGAAACCGTTTGTGAGGAAAAAGAAATTTGAACTACAAAAGGTTAGTATTCAAACTCATTGAGTTTTAATGCTCATGAACATGCTAGCTAATTTACTATAATTGATGTACTTAGAGTGCCTAAGATCCAAATTGCTTCCGCACATGTTATAGTAACACCATCATAGCACCCCCAAATGAGGGCACTAAAGTACTTGTCCACTCTCTTGGAAGAGATAGAAGAGCTAGTGGAACGCGGTCTTATGTATAGGCCTGAGTTAACCACAGAGCAGCCAAGAACACCATTGTTGACTTTGGAGATACCCACAACTTCATGACAGAGATTGAAGCAAAACGCTCGAACATCCTTTGATATTGAGACAAAGGAAAGATGAAGGTCGTCAATTTGGCAACTCTACCTGTCTTAGAAGTAGCAAAGAGAACTCTGATCAAGCTGTGGACTTGGACTGGGCAAACTGACTTTGTGATGGTAAAAATGGATGACTTCAACATTGTTTTAGGGATGGACTTCTTACTCGAACACAAAATCAATCCCATGCCACTAGCAAAATTCTTAGCAGTAACAATGTTCAACCCGACAATCATCCAGACAAACACCTGTCAACCAAAAGGGGTAAAGATAATGTCGACACTATTTATTAAATATCATCACTAGCCTAATAGGGTTAACCCCAATAATTGTATGAGCCATCATATATTATATGAGGAAAATGATTTAGGTATTTTAGAAATAAAGATACTTCTATATTTTAGAAAAAAGAGTGAGATATTTTAAGAAAAATATTGACATACTTAGATTGTTTATTCTCGGTTATAAATACCCATCAACCTTACCTAGGTTTTCATTTAAAAAAATACAAAGAACAAAGTGCAGCAGTATTGTAATCTCTTTCTGATTGTTCTTAATAAAGAGTGCGAGTGTTTACCACAAAAAGTTGTATTCAACAATCTGGTATCAGACTGAGGTTAATGTAGGTTGTATGATCTTTTGAAATTCTTAGTACACTCTATGGTTGCAGAACTCTTTGATCTTCCACATCAGAAACGATTTCTTGAGATCATTAGTGAGTGAGTTTCTTTTGTGTCGTGAGTAGTCTGCGACTCTGCAAGTTTTGTGTCGAAATAGCTTGTTTGGCATTACTAAGGTATAACCAACACGATGGGTGATTTTCAAATCGTTGGAGGAATTAAGAAACTCAACAACAACAACTACAACAGGTGGGCAACATGCATGATGTCCTATTTATAAGGACATGACCTTTGGGAGGTCATTGGCGAGAGCGAAACTACACCACCAGAGAAGGATTTGTAATGGCCCAGATCCACCGCTAGCAGATATTGTCCTCTTTGGACTTTCTCTCAAGGCTTTAAAACGCGTCTGCTAGGGGAAGGTTTTCACACCCTTGTAAATGGTGTTTTGTTCCTCCCCAACCAATGTGGGACATCATAATCCACCCCCCTTCGGGGCCTAGCGTCCTCGCTAGCACTCGACGTTGGCACTCTTTCCTTCTTCCAATCGATTTGGGACTACC